TTGCGACCAAAGCGACAATTACCACGGCTGTACTGCCTGCAGACTTCAGTCTGTCTCGGGCGATTTGTAGAGGCATGGGAGTGTGAGCTTCTTGAGCTATGACCACCCGGGTGGAAGGATTTATTGAGAGCTATTGAAGCTCGCCCGTTCTGCCTGTGCTTGGACAGGATATCTTGGTGGCCATCAGTTAGTTGCTTGCCCCACGCATCGTCAGAACTACCCATCGACAGTTCGGCGCGAACTTCAGCGTCAGCCGCTTGCATACAGGAGACACCCGTACAGCGTCCTAGCTCAGCTATTCTGGCGGTGTACAACAAGACTTCGGTGGGGGTCATCTGGCCGAGCAGGCAAGCCGATAAGCCCCACCTGGACAGGCGCAAGAAGAAGTCGGCCGCTTGGCAGGTAGCGTCATCAGAGGGCTTGTGATCTTCGTCGCCCAGTCGGGAGGTACCCGTAGTCTTGTCGAGTAGAAATGTATGAGTAGATCCCGTACGGGTCACTATCGAAGCACCGTCACAGGCGGATAGGGGGACCATTCTCCGCACACGCATCTTCGCCAAGGTGGCTGGCTTCACCACGAAGCGCCCTGCCACGCGAGTGCCATACTTTTCTTGAAACTGGCGTTGTCGAAGCAGTAGGACCTCTTCGTCAAAATCCTCTAACTGTTCATCTCTCTTCCTCTTGGGAGCTCGTTCACCGTCGCTTTTCGTGAGCGCATAAATTCGAGCAAGGGCTCGCAACACCACCAGGTTAGCTTCATCGGTGAGATCCCGGGCAAGTGTCTTGCACACGGACTTATCCAAGTCTTGGAGTAGTATTCCATTCGTCACCCCATTTTTGGTGAGGCACGCTGCAACGTCCTTTTGCGCAGCCAGGCTCGCATTGTTGCGTAGGAAGTCCGCAGCTTTGAGTGGGAGGCTGGCCAGGAGCTCGGCGGCGGCCTCGGCGAGTTCATCATGCTCAACATCCCCAACCTCTTGATCTTGTTCCGCAGCGACCATTGCCTCCGCATCCACACGAGCAGCCTCGTCGGGTTGGACGATTCCGGCCATGATTGGCAAACAAAGGGGGGGCAAATATTCTGAGGGCGACACATTCCCCTCCGCAACTCAACAGAGTGATATTGAACTGAGAGACGCTCCTTCACCGGAGGGAGTTCAGCTCATGTCGCGCTTGCGATCAAAGGCTTTGCTTAAGCCGTTTGGACCAAAGTCCTCTCCGGCAGCTTCTATCCCTCCCATGCGAGCACCAGTGTACTCTTGGCAGTGGTCGCCTCCCCGCATGCCATAAGGGTGCTGGGGTAGGCGAGTCCTACCAACGTTTCACTGTTGCCGAGCTGGCGCTGCTCAGCTCGACTCGGAACACAGGTCGTGCAACCGACGCAGTGGCTCCCCGTGGAGCTTGAGTCGGAGACCTGTCCGAGACGCATGAGCCGAGGGACGGCGCTCAATGTCTTCGAGAGGGGCTCTCGCGGGAAGAGGCTTCTCTCAGAGATGCGTGCTTGCCAAAAGGCTTGACATTGTGGCGTTGGCGGCAGTGTGATGGCTGTGCCGGAAGCTGGGCGGAGCTGGCGACATGAG